TAATGAAAAAATAATATAGAAATATGAACAAATAAAGAAATAAGGAAAAACCATTTAGATTTCCGAAGAATTTTATTTTATTTTTAAAGAAAAAAAGATTAAAATTTTGAAGTATTGGAAATAGTTTAGCCTAATATATGCCCGATAAAAATTTGTAATAAATTTGTAATTTGTTAAGCTACAGATTATATTCATTCAAAATTTTTACGTTAAGAAATATGTATTCATTTATTTATTCAAAATTGCGAATTTTTAAAAAATATTTATTTATGAATATATATTTAGTTATCACAATACTTGTAATTATATCTGATATAAGCTTACAAAATAATCGCTTACTAAAAATTATTAAACATATTCTTAGTAACACATATATTTCTTTTTATAGATAAGTTTTAGATAATCTAGAATTATTTTTAGCATTTCATAGCTCATTTTGATTCGAGTTTAGATTTTGTGTGTGTGTGTATGTGTGTGTGTGTGTGTGTGTGTTGTGTGTTAAATATATATTATAGCGTTTTTGATTACCCTAAAATAAACGCATTCTCAAAATGTTATAATTTAAATGTAGAAATTCATAATTCTTAACAGTAAAAGGATTTCTCTTTAGAACGTCTTTTTAGGATGTTTCTTTGTAATCCAGGGACTTCCTGAGAATATTCTATGGATTACCAAATGAGCACTTCATTTCCTATACATCATTCATTCACAGAACATCCGTTCTAAAAGACCTCCGTAATCTTTGAGACAGTTCTATTACTTAATTCCCACAGAGATTTCTCCAAAAGATGTTCTAAAAACATTCTAAAGTCTATTGCAGGATGTATCCTCTGCTCGGACAAAGTGTGCTAAATTTGCAAAATTAAAATATTTTATAAAATATTTATGTATATGTATTATTATATTCATTAACTTCGTTAGGACAAAAAAATACAATTATATCTCATACTAAGTACATGCGAGAACCCAATCAAACAATAATTATAATATATCTGAGCTTATATAAATTTGATAGCGATATAGAGATGTTGACTAAATTTTAAATGTGAGAAATGACACATCATATAGACACTAGTTTTTATAAGAATAAATAATATTAGAAAAATCCAAAATCAAATCTCAAGGATTGTAGACGGATATCTTTATAATATAGAATTTCGAATTAGAATGTTATGGAATGTTGAATGTTAAATCAATTAAAGTAAAAAAAGAAATTGATTCTAAAACAATGCCTTTTATTCGTGACAAATTTGCTATTTTGTTGAAGAAATAAAAGAAGTGTATACAAGAGAGTTTGAAAACTCAAATTTTGTAAGTTTGAGAAGAATTTTAATGAAAATCGGGATCAATAAAAATTCCATATATTAAATTTTTAAAGCTTTTATTGTAAATTTTTTTGTTATTTCTATATTAGCATAAATTTATTGTTATGTGTTACCATACACAATCATACAACATAAATATGTAAGTTAAAATTATGTAAATTAAAATTAATACAAGTGACGGATTAAAGAGCGTTTAAGAGACATCGTACAGACATAAACATGTTTTCTATAAAAAATATTTATTACATATCAAATAGATTGCATTCTACTAGATAAAATTTTATTACATTCGGATAACAATTGACGAAAATCTTCTTCATTGCCGTTATGCTAATACTTGCTTGTAATACTTGCGTGCATATATATCTTGAATACAATCTTTTTCTTAATATTTGTTTGTTATTATTCAATTTTGCTTGTTCATTGAAGATGATATAATCGAAATGTACTATTATAATCGAAATGACTATTATCTATTTATATTTATGAAATTTGAATTATATTAATACGATTAACCAACTTGACTCATCAGCGCTCTTTTTATTTTTTTATTTCTAATATATAAAATTATGTATAAAATTAAATAGTAAAAACATAGACGAAGGCATCTTTGCTAATAATGATGAATTATTTTATAAAATTTTTACAGTAAAGATATAAAAAAAATAGGTCTATACTGCAGATATATTTATATTATAATAATTAATTAATGGACGATTATTAAGTGATAACATAATATATGTATTGATAATTAACATAATATATTATTGATTTTGAAAGGTTTGTAAACATAATTTGAATCTATTCTCATATTTGCTATTAAGCGCACCGGTGCAACCATTTGCGCCAAGTCGATGAATACGCAGATAATCTTCACAATCAATCACTCCATTTCCGGTACAGTCCTATTTTATTAACATATATTAAATATTATAAAGTGTAAATCAAAATCTTCATATGAGAATCGAATTACTTACGTGACCGAATTTGGTCATGTAATTTTGTACTGCGGCAGCAGCACAGTAAGGATCGTTGACGCATCTGGCATAAGCTGATATAAAAAAGAAATCATAATTATGCATTATAGTATGTTATTATTACAGAATTGTTATACTTATATTAATCAGATTATAAAATTTATATTCATTATATAATCACTAAAGTAAAAAATATAGATATACAATTTACACGATTCTATTAACATTGGTTGACTGTTAATAGAATCATTTTTATAAAAATGTACATATCAATATTATAAAAAGAAACAAAAAATCAATCAAATTACAGTTAAAATTAATTAAAAGTCAATTCTAATTAAATTTTAATTAAATTTGACATATAGAATTTCACGTAATATATGATCGCTATTTCATTTATTTCTCTGATAAAAAAATTGGAAAGAGAGAAAAAAAATTTTTAATTATGTAATAAATGAAGAACAATATTATGCAATTAAGTTTGAAATATTCTGAAATATTTTGATAGAAATGGCATTGTATTTCATTTTTTTTTTAATATAAATAAACTAAATAAATATACATATTCAAAATGAAGTAAATTATTTTAGATACTTATTAAATATTTTTGGATTTTTTTCGTTTCTATAATTAATTAATTCTTGAATACGCGCATTTTATACAGATTTTGTAGAGAACGTGTGTCTGTGTTCTATCAGGAAAGTTTAAAAGGAGCATGACTAAAGAATGAATGAAGAAGAAAGAAAAATTATTCCTATGTGCTTCGATTATCTAAAATACTTTATTTAAAAGAAAGTAACCCACCATTGTCGCTAAGTGGCTCGCTGTTTAGAGTTGGTTTACCAGCGTCAAACCAGTAACCCCATGTTATGGCAAAGGGTCCACATACAGTTTCGGAACATCCGATAGTGGTATTACATCCTGAACTAACTTCGCATATGCAGCCTAAACAGACTTGCGATACAATTTGAGCTGTAATGAAAAATAGAAATGTAAACATTATTAACAGCAAAAAGTTTTATTATGTTTTAATTATTTTATTATAAGCAAAGTAATTTATCAAAAGTAGAGTCGATGAACCAGAAATGTATTATCTAGATATCTATAGTAGATCTAGATAGTATATTTATATTCATTAACTATAGCTTTTTATTCTTCTCAAACAAGAAATATATATTAATTTAAATAAAATATCGAAAATATTTATAAATCTGACAAAATAATTTTGATTAAAAAATACTGAATTTTTGAAGTCATGTAAAGTTTATTACAATCATATTTTATATCTTCAAGTTTATAGAAGAATTAATATTAAAAGTTTTCAATATATTTCTCAATTATAAAATCTATCGAGAAATTTCTTAAAGCCCTTATAGAAATTTGATTTAATATTGATC